CACCATAAAAAAAAAAAAAAAAAAAAAAAAAAAAAAAAAAAAAAAAAAAAAAAACAAAACACTACAGGTTGATATCCCTGATGTCCATAAATGCAAAAATCATCAACAAAATACTAGCAAACCATATTCAACAATAGATTAAAAGGAGTACTCACCAAGATCAAGTAGGATTTATTCTGGGGATGAAAAGATGGTTCAATATTCACAAGTCAATCAACACCATACACCACATCAACAGAACTAAGGATAAAAATAATATGATCATTTAAATAGATGCAAAAAAAGAATTTGACAAAATTTAAAATCTGTTCATGATGAAAATTCTCAACAAAATGAGTATTGAGGGAAAATAGCTCTAAATTTAAAGGCCATATGTGAAAAACTCATAGCCAACATTTTAGTGAAGAAAAACTGAAAGCATTTTCTCTAAGATTAGGAACAAAAAAGGATGTCTAATCTTGTCACTTTTATCAACTGGAAATCCTAGCTACAATAGTAAGACAAGAAAAAGAAATTTAAAATTATCCAAATAGGTAAGAAAGAAGTAAAAATTTCATTAGTTTCACATGATATGATACTAAATACACAAATCCCTAAAGACTCCACCAAAAGACTACTAGAATAAATTAATTCAATAAAGTTGCATGATACAAAATTAAAACCCAGAAATTGGTACCATTTCTATACACTAATAACAATGGAGCAGAAAGAAATTTTATGAAAACCATCCATTTACAGTTCCACCAATTAGGATAAAATACCTAGAAATACAGTTAACCAAAGAGGTAGAAGATCTATACTCTGAAAACACAAAACACCCAGGAAAGAAACTGAGGATGACACAAGCAATTGGAAAGAAATTCCATTCTCATTGACTGGAAGAACCAATATTGTTAAAATGTCTATGCTACCCAAAGCAATCTAGAGATTCAATGCAATATTTACCAAAATACCAACACTTTTAACAAATCTATAACAAACAATACTAAAATTTTTGTGGCACCACAAAAGACACAAATTTCCTAATGCAATCATAAACACACACACATACACACAAACCTGGAGGTATCACAATTACAGGTTTCAAGGCACACAACAAAGCTGTAATAATCAAAATAGAATGGCACTGTAACAAAAATAGGACACATAGATCAAAGGAACAGAATAGAGAACCTAGAAATAAACCCACAATTATATGGTCAACAAAACAAAAGGCAACCTACTGAAGGGAAGGATATATTTGCAAATGATATGCCATATAAGGTGTAAATATCCAAAATATATAAAGAACTTATATGGAGTTTAGAAGATGGTAGCAAACTAGGAAGACCTTAGTCTCACTTCATCCCACAAACAAAATTACATAACTACCAAATCATCCTAAATACCACAGAAATCACCTTAAGACTGACAGAAAAATACTACACAATTAAAGGTAGAAAATAGGCCACATCAAAGAAGGTAGTAAGTACAGAGATGAAGATTAGGTAAGAAACAGATCACAGCTGCTGCAGAAGGAAGGAATCCATGGTTCTGGGCAAAGGCATAAGAGAGAGGATCACACAGGGTAATGCACATGGAGAATATTTCCCCATGGCCATTGGCATGGAAAAAAAAGAGGGATGGGATTTTGAGGGTTCTTGCAACCAGCAGGGCTTAAAGCCTAGAATATTAATAGTCAGCGGGTGTGACTGGAATAGAGCCTGGAGGGTATTGCTCTGCTCCTGGAGAGAAGGCAGGCAAACAGCCCAGGGATGGACAGCATGGAAACAGTGATCTGAAGAGCACCTGAGGCACACAGGAGATTATTCACTGTTCTCAGAGCACATCCCTGAGAGTCAGCACTCAGAGACACTTCTCTAGAAACAAAGGAGCTGGCTGGTGCTATTTCCATCCCAAACCTCTCAGCATAAACACAGAGCCACCTTCAGGAAGCAATGTAGCACTGACACTGGGTTCCTAACATGATTACACCAAGCACCATCACCTGCACTATGGTGGAACCACCCTACTCAGTCACATTTGCCTCAATCCCAGCCCAGAGGGCCCCTTCCCCAGAAGTCCCACACAAAGCCATGCCCACACCACCTCTTCCCCTCCAGAGAGTTTTGCAAACCCTCCGTTCTGTTTGAGGTGCTGTCAGGGCTCATTTCACAAGCAGACCAGAATACATCCAGTTAGAACTCACCACATTCAAACCAGGGACCAAACATCTCCCACAGGAGGCAAGAAGACCCTCTGCAGACGACTGGCCTGAGGGAAAGAGCAACCAAAGCACAAGAACAGAGCACATAAAACACACATCAGAGATATTCCCTGGTTCAACAGACTTTTGAATCTACATAACATCTTTTTCAAAAGGCCATTAATTTCAGAAGCAGGACATATAATATCTTTGCTTAACACAGAAGAAGGCAGAGACAAAGACAATCTCAAGAGAGAGGATATCATCCCAAATGAAAGAACAAGACAAGGCCACAACCAGGGATCTAAGTGAAAAAGATATAATTAACATGGATAATAGAAAATTTAAAGAAACAATGACAAGGATACTCACTGGGATTGAGAAAAAGATTAGAAGACATCAGTGAAATCTTTATCACAGAGATAAAAGTTAAAAAAAGAATAAATCAGAGAGGAAGTGTTCAACAAACGATTACTAGAACATGCTTGATGAAATGAGAACAGATTTGAAAAAGCAGAGAAATTAATGACATAAAACACAAAGTAATTGATGGAAATGAAGTTGAGCAAAAGCGAAAAATAAGAATTATGCAAAAAGATAATAGACTTAAGGAACTCAGTGACTCTATCAAACATTATACAGTTGTATTATATGAGTCTGAGGAAAAGAAGAGGGATAAAACTGGGCAGAAAATTTATTTGAATAAATAATAGGGGAACACTTCCCTAACCTGGGAAAGGAAACAGATGTTCAGATCCAAGAGGTCCAGGAAACTCCTATCAAAGTCAGCAAAAAGAAGCCAATACCAAGACACATTGTAATTACATTTGCAAAAATAGTGATAAAGAAAAGAAATCTTGGGGCTTGGAGGGAAGATGGCGGCGTAGGAGGATGCTGGGCTCACCGCGCGTCCTGCTGATCACTTAGATTCCACCTACACCTGCCTAAATAACCCAGAAAACCGCCAGAGGATTAGCAGAACGGAGTCACCGGAGCCAAGCGCAGACGAGAGGCCCACGGAAGAGGGTTGGAAGGGCGGCGAGGCAGTGCGTGCTCCACGGACTGGCGGGAGGGAGCCGGGGTGGAGGGGTGGCTCGCTGGCCAAGCAGAGCCCCCGAGTCTGGCTTGCAAAAAGCGGAGGGGCCTGACGGACTGTGTTCCGACAGCAAGCGCGACTTAGCTTCTGGGAGGTCATAAGTTAACAGCTCTGCTCAGAAAGCGGGAAGGCTGGAGGACAAAGGGAAGGAGAGCTGCTGAGCCCCCGGACTACAGAGCTCAGTTTGGTGGGGAACAAAGGCGCTCGCCAGCGCCATCTCCCCCACACATCCCCCAGCCAAAATCCCAAAGAGAACCAGTTCCTGCCAGGGAACTTGCTCGCTCCGCACAAACACCCAACTCTGCGCTTCTGCAGAGCCAAACCTCCAGCAGCGGATCTGACTCCCTCCTGCGGCCACAGGGCCCCTCCTGAAGTGGATCACCTAAGGAGAAGCAAAATAAGCCTGCCCCTCCTGCCCCTGTGCACCTTGCCTACCCACCCCAGCTAAGACGCCAGATCCCCAGCATCACAAGCCTGGCAGTGTGCAAGTAGCCCAGACAGGCCACCCCACCCCACAGTGAATCCCCCCCCTAGGAGAGGGGAAGAGAAGGCACACACCAGTCTGACTGTGGACACAGCGGTGGGCTGGGGGCAAACATCAGGTCTGACTGCGGCTCCGCCCACCAACTCCAGTTATACATCACAGCACAGGGGAAGTGCCCTGCAGGTCCTCACCAGGCCAGGGACTATCCAAAATGACCAAGCGGAAGAACTCCCCTCAGAAGAATCTCCAGGAAATAACAACAGCTAATGAGCTGATCAAAAAGGATTTAAATAATATAACAGAAAGTGAATTTAGAATAATAGTCATGAAATTAATCGCTGGGCTTGAAAACAGTATAGCTGACAGCAGAGAATCTCTTGCTACAGAGATCAAGGGACTAAGGAACAGTCACGAGGAGCTGAAAAATGCTTTAAACGAAATGCATAACAAAATGTAAACCACCACGGCTCAGATTGTAGAGGCAGAGGAGAGAATAGGTGAACTAGAAGATAAAGTTATGGAAAAAGAGGAAGCTGAGAAAAAGAGATAAAAAAATCCAGGAGTATGAGGGGAAAATTAGAGAACTAAGTGATACACTACAAAGAAATAATATACGCATAATTGGTATCCCAGAGGAGGAAGAGAGAGGGAAAGGTGCTGAAGGGGTACTTGAAGAAATAATAGCTGAGAACTTCCCTGAAGTGGGGAAGGAAAAAGGCATTGAAATCCAAGAGGCACAGAGAACTCCCTTCAGACGTAACTTGAATCGATCTTCTGCACGACATATCATAGTGAAACTGGCAAAATACAAGGATAAAGAGAAAATTCTGAAAGCAGCAAGGGGTAAACGTGCCCTCACATATAAAGGGAGACCTATAAGACTCGTGACTGATCTCTCTTTTGAAACTTGGCAGGCCAGAAAGA